TAGAGTAGCATACGGCCTATCATTCCTCTTAACTCAGTATGGAAGATGTTTAACAATAGATTAGCTAAATTCGAGTCCACTATGCTTTGATAGTTGCCCACGGAAAATGGGGGTGATGTAAGGTAAAACAAATGGCAGTTGAAAACTGCTCTAAGATGCTCTAAACATTGCACTCGATTATATAAAGATTGTCAGGCAAGAATGAATATATGTGGCGTTGTATTATATGTTTTGAATATATGTGGATTAATCCGCTTGCTTATGCAAATAACTGCGCCTATCAAAAAAAATCCGTCTTAATTGCTCAAATTGTTGCCTGGTGTATCTGTGGTTTCTGCCTCCACGTAGACTTCATATCTTCTAGGCTAATACAGTGAGACGACTTTTTTTGAACATCTGACATTTATTTTACAAGACAGCATTTTCGAACCTCTTGTCAGGTCCAAAAGAGGTGGTCGTCTGGCCAACGCACGAGGTGCGCACCAGATCACGTGACCAAAAACCCTTATGATTTACATGAAATCTACATTACCGGCCCCTAATATGAACACACGACGCCTTGATGAGATGCCGCGGGTGGATTGAACAACCATTTGATCTGGCGTTGTAGCAGAAATTCACTTATCCTTTGACTGTTCCATTGCTCAATGGCTTGAGCAATTTCTTTGTTACCAGCGACAAAATTTGTTCCGTTATCTGATCTGATAGATTCTGGCTTGCCTCTTCTTGCTATAAAACGCATGAGAGAATTAACAAACGAATCAGTGTCCATACTGTGTAATACTTCTAGATGAATGGCTCTTATAGCTAAGCATGTATATAAAACACCATATCTTTTGACTTGATTTCTCCCTCTTTTAACATAAAAAGGGCCAAAACAATCCACTCCCACAGCACTGAAAGGAGGTTTGTCTGGAGTCAATCTCTCTGCAGGTAGATCTCCCATTTTCTGAGAAGATAGCGGGGCTTGTCTTTTCTTACAAGGAATGCATTGATTGAGTATTCTTCTGATTGAAACCCTGGCTTTGATAATCCAATATTAAAGTACTTCTGATTAACGCAAGGACATGTTCCTGACCTGAATGTCCTAATTGTAAATGTGCTTCTCTGACGATAAGGTCTACTACATGATGGCGTTTGGGCAATATTATAGGATGCTTTGTTTCATCTGCAACGGTAGAGCGTCGTAGGCGTCCACCCACACGTAGTAACCCAGACACTTTGATTGGGTCTAGACCACTAAGTTGACTTGATTTCTTTGTAGCGATAGAGGTTTCGAACACTTCTTCCGCGAATTCTTGTTGTTGTATGTGTTTCAGTATTTCTATTTCTGCATTCTGTATCTCTTCTGTAGTAATTGGTGTAATCTCGGCATACTTGACAGTATCTTTGTCTTTACGTGCGTAAAAGCCTTTCACGATATCTCAAAATCCAAGCAAAGTGTTTCTTCAAACGGTACCACGATGAGTAATAGTGAATCATTCTGTCGATTGGATTTATTCCACAGCTTGTTGCAAAGGAAACGGCCTTCATTTCGTCATTGTCTTTAACCGCGATGGTTACATCAGGTGGTTTAGGCCAACTGTCTTCTGGCAACCACAGAAAATCAGGACCTTTTAGCCATCTCTCGTTGGTTACAATTTCTTCAGCAGATAAACCTCTCGATCAGGCGTCATCCGCTGGGTTTTAACTTAATATATAATATATAATATAATATAATCCTATTTATATAGCGCTTATCCAATTCTGTTCTAAGCGCTTTAAAACTACATGACAACTACAAAACACATGAGAGTCTTGGTAGACTGTGAGCTTGAGTTGGCGCCTCTGGCTGCTGCTGCACAGTCTGTCCCAAGATCTCAAACTAAAAATTAAAGTACAACAATCAGATTTACATCACAATAAGCAAGTGTTTTTGCATGATGCCCGGTGGCTTAACCAAGCTCATTCGCGCTTTGACAGGTTTTGTTTTTAGTCCTGCTGGGTGTCATGCCACCCTCCTCACCAGTGTAGACTGGTGGGGGTGCCGGTTTAGACGCCGACGACCCGTCCATGGGGCAGGTTGTACTGGGTTACAATGTTACCAGTAGCAGACTACATGTCTGACCTATGTTAACTTGGTGTTAACATAGTGCCACTGACTTGGTTGTGAATTTTCATGAATCACAGATATCTTGTTTGCGACAAATGTCTTAAATCTTCTATCTTCGTTTGCAATGTAGCCTAAAGCACAGGTGCTATCAGTCCAATAGATGTCTTCATCAATCGATATGTCCATCTCGCGATGAATCATGTTGCTTATTTACTTTGGTCGCTGTTGCTGCTGCTGAGAGCTCGAGTCGTGGGATCGTAATTTTCTTCATTGGCGTTAACCTTGACTTTGCGAGTACAAATGAACAATGAATCCTATCATTGCAGTCCACGAATCTTAGATATGAAACTGATCCGTATCCACGCTCAGATGCGTCGGAAAAGTTATGTAACTGGCATGTTGCAACAGAACCGAAGTCTTTTGGCTTGAAACAGCGTTCAACAGTGAAATGTTCCAACTTAGGTAGCTCTTGAAGCCATAGTTGCCAACGATCAAGATCTTCTTGGGGTATCACATCATCCCAATCCAGTTTCTTCCTGCATAAATCTTGTAGAATAGCTTTGGCTTGTAATATGTAAGGTGCAACAAAGCCTAAAGGATCATAAATAGAGCTCATCAGCGATAAGAGACCACGCCTCGAGGCTGGTCTGTCTTTCACAGTTATCTTGAAACCGAAAGTGTCAGATTGAACATTCCACTGAATGCCAAGCGCGCGTTCAATGGGCAAATGTTCTAGATCAAGATTCTTCACACATC